GTAGGGCTATGTAGGGCTATGTAGGGCTGTGTAGGGCTGTGTATGGCTATGTAGGGCTATGTAGGGCTATGTAGGGCTGTGTAGGGCTGTGTATGGCTATGTAGGGCTATGTAGGGCTATGTAGGGCTGTGTATGGCTATGTAGGGCTATGTATGGTTATGTAGGGCTATGTATGGTTATGTAGGGCTATGTATGGCTGTGTAGGGCTGTGTAGGGCTGTGTAGGGCTATGTAGGGCTATGTATGGCTATGTAGGGCTGTGTAGGGCTATGTAGGGCTATGTATGGCTATGTAGGGCTGTGTATGGGTATGTAGGGCTGTTTAGGGCTGTGTATGGCTATATATGGTTATGTAGGGCTATGTAGGGCTGGGTATGGCTATGTAGGGCTATGTATGGTTATGTAGGGCTATGTATGGTTATGTAGGGCTATGTAGGGCTGTGTAGGGCTTTGTAGGGGTATGTAGGGCTATGTAGGGCTATGGAGGGCTGTGTATGGCTATGTAGGGCTATGTAGTATTATGTAGGATTATGTACACTGCTTTTAGTAACTAACGGGGAACCACTATATGATGCTTACACCACGTACCTACCCATTTTTCCCACAGTCCATATTTTAGAAGCAAGAATTGAAGCGAACCGACAGAGGAAATCAGAAATGCTTAAAAAAATGAAAAACATTATATCTTGCAACTTTGTTTTTTTTGCATATCGTATTTGTCTTTCGGTACTGAAATCCGGGGGAAACTAAAACGCAACTATGCTAGATCTTAACCAACAACAACGCGCTCGATGGATTTATTTATAGGTTACATAGTTTACGGTTTTTGCAGGGCAACGATAACTTGATGCCGATAAAAACTACTGGAGCAAGTGTCAAATTTATCGGAAGCAAGTATACTCAAGAAAGCTTTATAAATATGAGCTTACTGCTCTACATATCATAACTGAATAAAAATTAACACTTCATAACATTTCACTTCGTTTATTTCGATCAGTCAACAACTTGAATCCAAAGTTAAAATTCAAAACGATCCTAAAACAAATCGCAACTACTACTGAAAACTCTGTACCTTGAAGCGACTTTAACTTTCCTAAGGTTTGCAGCAAAACACTGCTCGATAGCTCAACTCTTCGGCGGCCTTTTCTTAGCAGGTATACGGAGCTAGCTATATGTTGCATATTCCAAACTCTGCAAAGGGAAATTGTTTAACAGAAAAAGAAAACCACACACTATGTCTGAAAAGCGACATAAAATCAATAAATTTGCGAATTACCAAAATATAATAGTGAGAAACAGTCCCGCCTTCGACTGCCATGTTTTTGTTTTTTTCTGAAGACCGTTGATCTATGGTTTTTGACGTAATGCGCATGATCAGTACACAAATCCGCTGGCAAGACCCTTGCTGATCGCTTTGCAAGTTGTGAGAACATCGTTTGGATTTCATTTAAGAGAATGTATGGGAAGTAGCTTCCCCCCCCTGGACCGGCATCTTCGCAAAAACAACTATGGATTCTCCGTGCTTAACGACAAGGAATTTCACGAAGAGGAAGACATAACAGGCCAGAACCCCGATTTTAGTGCGCGCAGGAGGAGGCCTAATCTCCACAGCAACCACCGCAAATCGGTTTCCAATAACAGACAAGGTAATTAGTTTTAAGCATTCCTCCAGACACCTTTGGAGAGCGCCGGACACATTGCCTGTCAAGGAACTTTGCACTTCTGATTAAACGAACCAGACATCTCAAGGAAACGCGAAATTTGATCAGACTATTTGGGTATTATAAATTCATTTCACGGTCGATTGAAAATTTGGAAGTCGATCTTCGCGCCTCTGGCTTCGCAATTGATAACTACAGTTTTCTCGCCGCATTTGGATTCAAATAGGCTTGATACGCTTTCAATGGTTTTACAAGTGCTTTCTTTTAAGAAAATAGTGCTCCGATGGCTTATTTAACTTCTGCCAAGAGTAGTATGCCGTGTCAACATTGGTGACCTTCGAAGGGAAAACAGCGAGTCGGCGTATCAAGTTTTTACTGTGGAGCCACAAGTAGGAATACACTCTCTGCTGGCACATCTTTCTCCGGTTTGGAAGGAACTCGGCGTGGAAAAGACCCTGACCAAAGAAATTTTTAAATCTTCTCTATTTGAACGTTTGAGAAAAGCCGTCAACAATGCATATTTTATAGTCGCCGGAGAAAACGAAGGCGAGAGCTCGAGCTCTACTTCACATCCCCTTGAGGAACAGCAAGACCGATTATCTGATTCAATGGACGACCTTTTTGATCAAACGGCGAAGGATTCAAGTCTTTTTTCTCTGGCTTAAGACGATGTAAGCGTCGATGTGCCTCCAGTGACAAATCACTCTCCAAAAATCCCGCCAAGCACTGTCGAAATCCCGCCAAAATCTTATTCGCTGGAAGGAGCCCAAGACGCTGGATTACTCCAGATATTCTAGCTTCCACTTCAACATCTTCGTGTTCGCGTGGGCGATCTGTATAATCAACGTCACAGATACAGTATGGTTTCTATATCAGTCATTTTAGCCTCCTTGAAATGTCAATCATAATCCAAAAATTATTATTTCAGGTTACCTTTGTATTTTTACTTGCTTTTTACTTAATTAATAGGCCACATTATAGGGCTACCCTCTCCCTCAGAGCTTACAGGCGGCGCGCCCAAGATTCTGAGGTGAAGGTAGTCTCTCTTTTGAAATGTCGGTCATAATCCAAACAATTTTTGTAGGTGATTTTTGTAGTGTCATAGGCCAAATTATAGGACTACCCTCTCCCTCAGAGCTTACAGGCGGCGCGCCCAAGATTCAGAGGTGAAGGTAGTATTTCTTTTAAAATGTCGGTCATAATACAAATTATTTTTGAAGGTTGTTTTTGTACTGTCATTTGTTTTTGAAATAGGCCAAATTATGGGGCTACCCTCTCCCTCAGAGCTTACAGGCGGCGCGCCCAAGATTCTGAGGTGATGGTAGTCTCTCTTTTGAAATGTCGGCCATTATCCAAATTATTATTGTAGGTCATCTTTGTTTTGTCATTTGTTTTGAAATAGGCCAAATTATGGGGCTACCCTCTCCCTCAGAGCTTACAGGCGGCGCGCCCAAGATTCTGAGGTGATGGTAGTCTCTCTTTTAAAATGTCGGTCATTTATCCAAATTATTATTGTAGGTTATTTTTGTAGTTTCATTTGTTTTTGAAATAGGCCAAATTAATTATGGGGCTACCCTCTCCCTCAGAGCTTACAGGCGGCGCGCCCAAGATTCTGAGGTGATGATAGTCTCTCTTTTGAAATGTCGGTCATTATCCAAATTATTATTGTAGGTTATTTTTGTAGTTTCATTTGTTTTTGAAATAGGCCAAATTAATTATGGGGCTACCCTCTCCCTCAGAGCTTACAGGCGGCGCGCCCAAGATTCTGAGGTGAAGGTAGTCTCTCTTTTGAAATGTCGGTCATTATCCAAATTATTATTGTAGGTTATTTTTGTAGTGTCATTTGTTTTTGAAATAGGCCAAATTAATTATGGGGCTACCCTCTCCCTCAGAGCTTACAGGCGGCGCGCCCAAGATTCTGAGGTGATGCATGGTAGTCTCTCTTTTGAAATGTCGGTCATTATCCAAATTATTATTTTAGTTCTTCTTTGTACTGTCATTTGTTTTGAAATAGGCCAAAATATGGGGCTACCCTCTCCCTCAGAGCTTACAGGCGGCGCGCCCAAGTTTCTGAGGTGATGGTAGTCTCTCGTTTAAAATTTCGGTCATTTATCCAAATTATTATTGTAGGTTATTTTTGCATTGTCATTTGTTTCTGAAATAGGCCAAATTATGGGGCTACCCTCTCCCTCAGAGCTTACAGGCGGCGCGCCCAAGATTCTGAGGTGATGGTAGTCTCTCTTTTGAAATTATAATTGTAGGTTATTTTTGTAGTGTCATTTGTTTTTGAAATAGGCCAAATTATGGGGCTTCCCTCTCCCTCAGAGCTTACAGGCGGTGCGCCCAAGATTCTGAGGTGAAGGTTGTCTCTCTTTTAAACTGTCAGTCGTCAACCATAGTATTATTGAATTTTCATTTTCCAGAGTTCATATTGGTACCTTCTTTATAGTTTTACGTGATTTGTGGCAAAGACAAGACCAGGCTAACAAATTTATTCTACTTTATGCGTGGTGCGACAATCACCGTGGCTGACTGGCCTCCAAAGTTCCTTTATAATTTGGACGCTTCTCAGGAGTTCCTTCACTGCTTGTAATCCAGAATTGGCGATTCTCAGCAGCTTGAAGCTCTTGCTTTTCATCAGTTGTTCCTTGGACGGCGACCTTTTCTTGTCCCGAGTACAATATCGATTCTCGATTCTCGACTCTCGATTACCGTATCTTGCTGGTGCAAGGTTTCGGCAACGGGACCAGTACTAAAACCATTGCAGGAATATCACTGCCAAACTGCGCAACAGAATGCACGAAAAACCTCTCCGGTAGTTGAAAAAAAAGAAAAAGAACCTGCGATGTAATTAGGTAACTTATTCATGGTGTTCAGCTTCCGGTTTATTCAGCTTATTGCCAGTTGTAGGCAAAGTTCACGCGCACATTATCGCATTCTAACTGGGTCGATTGTGAGGAAACTGTTATGTCAGTCATTGACTAAAAACCCCCGCGCGTTAAGCCTTTGTGCGACGGACGACCCTTAGAAATATAAATTGCCCACACTGATCACCAATTCTACTTGCAAAGTGTTGCTGATTGAGTTGTGTAATGTATTCTAGAGTGTAAATTTAGTACTAACCTCGCAGACAAGGATGCAATGAGACATTTATTTTGCGTAGTTAGGCCTGCTATCCATTGGGCAACCATCCCTTTTATTTTCTTTCGATAGCCTGTCCATGCACTAACCTTTGGCTACAGAAACTAGCTGCCTCTCGCTGTACCAAAACTTGATAGTTTTGGCGTTCAATATTTTTAACGGATGCTCACAAAACACCAGGACTGCATCGTGCGCCTTTG